GATTTAACAAAAAATGGTGCAAATTCTAGTATAGTTCTTTGTAGAAATAGATAAGTCAATTCTAAAATTTATATGTAAAACAAAAGACCCAGACTAACCAATTTTCAAAATAATAAAGATAAGGGCTAGGCATGATGGTGCACTCTTATAATCCCAGCATTCTGGGAGGCTAGGGCAGGAGAATCATGTTTGCCCCAAGCTTGAACAACTTATCCAGACCTGTCTGAAAATTAAAAAAAAAAAAAGGAAAAAGTACTGAGGGTGTAGCTCAGTGAGAATGGCCCTGGGTGCAATCCCAAGTATCAATAACTCAATAAATAAGTAAAAATAAAGATGAGATATAGCTCAGTAGTAGAATAATTGCCTAGCATGCATAAGGCCTTGGGTTTGACCAGTATCAGTAATAACTCAATAAATAAGTAAAAATAAAGATGAGATATAGCTCAGTAGTAGAATAATTGCCTAGCATGCATAAGGCCTTGGGTTTGATCCCAGTATCAGGAGGAAAAAAAAAAAAAAAAAAAAAGAGGAGGTTGTTAGAGGAATCATACTCAGTTTTAAGATTTAGTATAAGCTTCAATAATCAAATCATCTCTGTTATTGGAAAAAGAAGACACACAGAGATCAATGAAAAAGATTAGAAAGTCCAGAAATAGATCTACATAAACATGGATACTGGTTTTTGAGGAAGTTGCAAACTCAGTTCAACCATGAAAGGACATAGTTTCAACAAATGAAATAGCCAGGAATGGTGGCACATGCCTGTAACCCCAGCACCCTGAAAGCAGAAGCAGGAGAATCACCATGAGTTTAAGACCAGCCTGAAATACAGAGCAAGACCCTATCTCAACCAAACAAATGATGTCACATCAACACTGGATATACACAGGCAAAAACCGAACTGTCACTTAACCTTAGACTTTATCAAATATTTCTCAAAATGATTACAGATCTAAATATAAAGAATAAAACTAATATATAGCATTTAAAAAGCAGAAAAATCTCTGTGATTTGCAATTATACAGAGAATTTCTACACAAAATACTAAAAATACAGTCTATGAAAGAAAAGATCAATGAACTGGACTTCATAAAAACTAAAATCCTTTCACTGTGAAAGACATCACCAAAGGAATGAAAAGACAAAGCTACAGACCAAGAGAAAATATTTACAAAGTAAACATCTAACAAAGGACATGTATATAAGATAGATAATGAACTCTCAAAACTTAAGAACCAGGGCTGGGGACTTAGCTCAGTGGTTCTGCACCCTGCCTCGAAAACACAAGGTCCCACGTTCAATCCCCAGTACTAGAAAAAAACAAAAATACAAACAAACAAAAAACCTTAAGAACCAGAAAATAATTAATAATGGGCAAAAGATCTGAACAGATACTATATCAAATAAAATAAGCATATGAAGAAATGTTCAACACCATTTATCTAGTAGGGAAACACAACAAGAAACTGCACAGAGCTCCACTACACACACACCTAACAGAATAACTAAAATTTTTAAAAATGACAGTGCTGAATGCTAACCAGGATGTAGAGCAAGGGAAATACTGGTTCGATGCTCATGGAAATTACTGGAAAGCCGATTTGCAAAATAGCTAGGAAGTTTTTATAAAGTTAAACATATACTTACTATGTAACACAGCAATCCTTTTCCTAGGTATTTATCCTAGAGAAATTAAAATTTATTTTTGCACAGAAGCCTGCATGTGTACAGGAGCTCTATGCATGTCTTTAGTTCCATAACAATTATATTTTCCTTGGAAAAGGTGAACGTGTTTGTGACACACGTGCACATGTGAACACACGGGCGCACATACACATGCACAAATTGGCAGCAAAGAATCAACCAAATACAGGCAATCTCATCAAGACACTCTCCTATAAACATCGCTAGCGCCACAACCCTTTCCCCCGCACCTACCTCTACATCGCTCACTCAATATCCTCTGCTCCACAACTGATGGACGGGGAGGGGTGGTGCAAAAACAAAGATAAAAACAAAAAATGGCAGAAGAATCCAGAAAACTCACTAAAGCATTAATCAAGAGATCAAAGAAGCCTTTGAACCTAGAATTGCCAGAGCCCTTCACTCCCTCCACTCACTCATTCTTTGGAATTTTACATAGATACCACTTCAACTAAAGCAAAAAGGAAAAAGAAAAAAAAAAAACGCTCAACCACTTGCTCATAAACTTTGTGTTAAAGTCTTTGCTCTGGTCTGGTTCAAAGAGAAAGAGAGAAAAATTTCAAGATAAACAGTCCCAGTGCATTTCTCAGAAAAGTCTTGCACCTCTAACTTTAAGTCCCTGGGACATGCAGTGAACTGAATTGAGACAAGAGCAAATCGGATTTCTTTTAAAGGACAAAAATAGAGGTTATTATTTGGTGGTTGAAGATTTTCCAAGCCTTTTTCCATCAGTCACCAGGGTTCTCATTTCTAGTGATGATGTACAGAATGAAAGAAAATATTGGCCAAAGTTAGGAAGGCACAGGCTAGGGGTGACCACGTATCAGACAACACTTGAGTCAAAGCAAAACCCTGATCACATCAATTCTTAGTTGTTGGGGAAAAAGCTCTTCTGTATTTCCCGTGCTACTTTCCTGGCTAGACTGTGCCCATCCAATTTATTCTGATCACTCATCTACATACAAGAGAATGCACTCTTGGGGAATGACAGTTGCCAGAATCATTTGTTGAAGATTATCCTTTTCTCTCATGAATTAACTTGGCATTTCTGATGAAAATCAACCGACCATATATGTGTGGGTCTCCTAAACTCCTTATCCTTTCTCAAGAACCGATAATAGCTGCTTTTTCCTTTCTCAAGAACCTATAATAACTCCTCATTATCTGACAGAATGAGCAGAAACTTCCCTCTTTGACATTAAAAGTACTTCAATCCAACAATTCGTCTCTCTCAGATAAATATTTCAATATGTAGCTCTAGAAAGTAAGGATTCTTTTTAAATCAAAACCACCATACCACTGTTATGTCTTAAATAACTGAATAATTCTTTAATGTAATCAACCATTAGGTCAATGTTCAAATCTCCTTGATCATCTCATGTTTGGTTACAGTTGGTTTGCCCAAACAAGCCCCACCTACTACATTTCTACTGCATTTCTTTTAGGTTTCTTTTAGATTATCTTCTATCTCTCTTTTTCTTTGTAATTTGTTGAATAAACCAGATTGTCTTATACAATTTAAGACTGTTCCAGACTAGGCTGCGCCTGCCTGGCAAACACAAGGTCCCAAATTCAATCCCCGGGGTGGGGGTGGGGGGATGATTGTCTGGATTTTGTTCATTGTATCATTTAATGATATCTGGTATCATTTAATCTGTTTCTCTGTATTTCCTGTAACTTGGTAATGAGATATGCCTGATTACCTATTGTCTATCAGATATCCCAATATTCTGTATTTCTGTAGTATCGTTTATATTGTTTCTCTATTCTATGTATTTCCTGTAAATTGGATATCGAAGTTTCATCAGGTTCAGGTTGGTTTTCGTTGGGCAAGAGTATTTCAACAGAGGTGTTATGTACTCTCACTAGGAAGCACAACATGATCACTGCCTACGTTAATTATGGATTGCAAAAAATTAACACTCATATTCTCTCCTATAAAGAGAAACCCCTCCAACAATTTCTGCTGAGATGTAGAGTGTACTGGAAAGACAGACTAAATGCTTTCTCCTTATTTACTAGTGTCCGAAAAGTGAGTTAATTCCCAGTATCTTTAAAAGGTGGCCAATTACATAATTTTACTTGTATTATTATGAAAGGACTTATTTAAACATATTTGATACATTTCAAACTATTGCAGTTATTATCCTGCTGATGGTCAAATGGTCCCCAACAGGACTTTTCTCTTTGGTTCCTGAGTCCTTTGGCTATAGCTCTAGCACTCATCAGGAGCTTCTTTCCTTTGTAGTGTGACAGGAAACTCTAGGCACAAATAGTTCATTTCCTGACCCAAATTTGGAAACAAGAATTTCTACAAGAAGTCACAGTTCCTTTCAGTGAGAAATGGTAATTTTAAAAGCTCATATTGAGTGCTAGGAATGCCCATTGCTACTGGATTGGGCACTCTTCCTCAGCCTCTCAGTTATCACAGGAAGGAAGTGCTTTTTCTCAAGGTTAACTACCTTAAGAACCCTTGACTCTAGCTCATAAGCACCCTTGCCATTCAAGTTCACGACTAGACAATTTTTACACAACCTAACCTCATCAGTTTTACATCTGCACCTCCTTGCTTTAAATCCATTTGTTTCATTTTCTTAATTTTTAGGACTGGTTAAAAAAAATCCGTCATTTGGGTCCGGGGATTTGGCTCAATGGTACCACGCCTGCCTAACGAGTGCAAGGTCCCGAGTTCGAACCCCTGTGTGTGTACAGGGGGAAATCAATCATTTGGTGGGTCAGGATATAGTCAGCCCTCAGGAGGCTGAGGCAAGAAGGACTGCTGTGAGTTTGAGGCCAGCCTGGGTAACACAATGACGTCAAGGCAAGCCTGAACTACACAGCAAGAACTTATCTCAAAAAAACAAAATAAATGAAACAATTTAATAAATAAATTATAGTATAATTATACGTAATATTTACTTGGCTCCCCTGTTCTGAGAAGTCTTGTTACTACCCTTGTCTGTACCACCCTTTTCCACTCCTTCTACTTTAGGTGACCATTACAAAAATTTTTTATCACCTATATCTCCATTGTTTTTGTCAAATACCAGTGGAGATATTTATTATAGTTTCTCCATCTTGCTCTTTTCATCTAATAGTATATCCTAACAACTACATGACTACCTCATTATCTGTTGTTTCTTTTTTTTTTTTTTGTGTGTGTGTGTGTGTGTGTGTGGTACTGGGGATTGAACTCAGGACCTTGGGCTTATGAGGCAGGCGTGGTGCCACTGAGCTAAATCCCCAGCCCTTGTTTTGTTGGGTTTTGTTGTTTTTTCCCACATGCAAGGCTTTCAAAAAATGTGGAACGCTTCTCACAAATTTGCGTGTCATCCTTGCCCAGGGGCCATGCTAATCTCCTCTGTATCGTTCCAATTTTAGTATATGTGCTGCTAATCCTTGTTTTGTTTTTGAGACATGGTTTATGTAGTTCAGGCTGGCCTTGAACTCACAGCGACCCTCCTGCCTCAGCCTCCCAAGTGCTGAGATTACAGATGTGTGCCGCCACGCCTGGCAACAACCTCGTTGTTTTAGAGATAGTGCACATGCCTTTTTATAACCCCACAGCATTCCACTGTATACCACACTTTCTATAAATTGGCCCAAACTGAGAGTTTCATGTATTTGGTTTTATTTCTAGTCCACTGTGTACCTGTGTATTTTTGCTAATGCATCTTTAGAATATGTTTCTGGAACCTGGAGTCAAAGGCCTGTCTTATTCTGCTAGGTCCTGTACTCCCTGCTCCATGGATATGAAGTCCTGTGCAGTGGAGTGCCTCGTTCTCTGCACCTCTTGCCAACAGTCTGGTGTTAAACTCTGGCATCTTTGCCAATCTGACAGGCAAACAATGCAATCTAATTTGTATTTCACCTATGAAAAGCAAAGCTGACTATTTTTTCATAGGCTTCAAAGACATTTGCATCTCTTTTCCTATGAATTGTTTGTACATCTCTCCAGCTCATTTTTCTATATGGCTGTTGTTTTCCCTACTCTGTTTTTAGAAGCTCATTATTTGTCTGTGGTATAAACTGCAGATATTTTTTCCCAATGAGTCATTTGCTGTGCTTATTTTTTCTTACAGGCAAAAGTCTTTTATATTCATGGGACTAACATATCAATCTTTCCTTTTATTGGTTCTGGGTTTTGAAACCACTTTTTTTTTTTTTCCACTTTCAGGTTAAGAATGAATTCACCCATGTTATCACAGGACTCAATGTTTTTAATGACTGTTACCTTTCCCCCTTCAATTCCTTGGAGAACATATGAACGCAGCCTTATACCCAATTATCTCACATGGTGGAAGCAGCTCATTTTTTTCCCCTTTAAAGTTAAAATGCAGTCACCCTCCCCTTGCATACACATGAACCTCTGGGATCATGTAAACAAAGCGCAGAGACACGTGTGGATGTGTCCTTGTGTTTTTCTTTACAGACTTCCCTGTGCACCCTGCAGTTGTGAGGTCAGACGGTAGCCAACCCGTGCAAGTGCTCTAGTTGTCAAGGGAGAGCTAGAGTCAAGGTGTTTCGTTCCTTCTCTATTCAGTGAATGACTGGAGAAGAAACGGATTCTCCTATGTCAATCCACATCTACCAGGGGCCAGGATGAGCAGGGGAGACAAGAAAAGGATTCGGTAAAAGAGCAGCTGCAGCCAGCTCTCAGGGGAACGGCCTGTGCCCCAGCACAATGGACATGGCCTCTTTTATGAAGTGCATCCAATTTAGGATGAAGGAAGTTGTTTTTTTCTTAACTTCTCTTTCCAAAGATATATCATGTTTCTCATCTAAAACATTTCCTCACCAACAGGCTTTTGAGAGAATGACTTCTACGACTGCAGTCTGGTATGACTAGAAAATGGCCTCATTTCTTTGGATCTCTAAAGAAAGGCCACAGAAAAGCTCTGATTTTTTTTTCATGTTGAAAAGGATAAATAAATGATATTTCAATATTTGACAATAATCTAAGAGGAAATAACCAGATCTAGCTTTCAATATAGAAAGCAGTGATTCTCGTGTTATATAAGAAATATACATTAAAAATGAAATGTATATATGTATATCCATTGTAACAAGCAATACAGATAATTTTAATGTGGATTTCTTCATTTTACACTTTGATAATCTGTGCGCAAGAGTCAAATTCCTCCAAAAATCAACCGTATTTCCCAAATTTCTTACCTCTCTGCTCCAGGTTCTGAGATACACTGACAATGATGACCATTTCCTTGACTGTCCTACATTTGGCATCTAGCACATGCCCTGGTAAATAATAATAATAATAATAATAATAATAATAATAATAATAATAATAATAATAATAAATACATCATATATAGTCATTGAATTCAGAAATAAAATCTGAGACAAGTGGATACCCACATGCAAAAGAACCCTACGCCCACCACACAAAAACCAATTCAAAATGGACCAAAGACCTAAAGGTAAGAGATAAAGCTCTTAGAAGAAAACATAGGTAGAAATCTTTGTGACCTTGGATTAGGTAATGGATTCTTAGTCATGACACCAAAGGCATAAGCAATTAAAGAAAAATATAAATAAAGTTGACTCCATTCCAAAAAAATTTTTTTAATCGTGTTTCAAAGGTTACTATCAGGAAAGTGAAAAGATAACACAGAAAATGGGAGGAATAAACATCTTTCATATTATCCACCCCAATCTTACTATAAAAATATTCCCTGGGGGGATTTAGCTAAGTGGTTTCGTTGCCTGCCTCACAAGCACAAGGTCGTGAGTTTGTTCCCTGGTACAAAAAAAAAAAAAAAAATTCCCTGGTACCAACCCCATAAACACTCCTCCACTCCTCCTCATTCCTCTTTTTCTTGCTTTATTTTTAGGCCTCTTTTTCTTCTTTCTTCTCATCTTCTTTCTTTCTTCTTTTTTTTTTTTTTTGTTCCTACTTGTGTTTTTAGAAAATACATCTTACATTTTTATAAATAAGAATCAGGCAATTTCTCTTTCTTCCTTCCTTCCTATCTTTTTCCTTTCCTCCTTTTTATCAGTGGAGAATTCATTTGAGGATTAAGGAGCCTGGATACCACAGAGACTTTGCTACCCTACAGGCTGCCTGCCTCTGTACACTTATCCAAGGCTTAAGAACAGACACATACACAAGTAGGCCTTTGATCCTGAAAACCTAGGGATCCCACTGGGATGAGGATAAATATTTATCTCTGTTTGCTCTTTTTCTGTTGGGCCCTGGTTTCTGGCTTGCTCAATGTCCTATTTGGCCAACAACCAGCCAGGTCAGGAAAAGATCACTCTACAGTCCCAGCCTTGAAAACATGTGGGAAGAGCCTCCAAACAGTTCCCACATGAATTTTAAAAGGGTCATCTGAGTACACTACCAGTTTAAGGAAATATGTACGGAGAAAACACATTCTCTTGCTCACACCAAGTCAGAGAAGAAAACCAAATATGGAATATTCTCTTAACAACTTTTCCCCGTACCCTCACCTAGGACAAGAAACACTCTACAGTGTACTGAACTCACTATCTGGTACTGCAGTGGCGGTGAGGTAAAGGGCTTGAGGTTTCATAGGCCAATGTTTCCAAATCTGAGTTTTGTTAATTAGGAGCCAAAACTTGCCTTCCTAATCTATGAAACCAAAACAATAAAATATATTTTACAGAGTTGTTGGAAAGATCTACTGGTCCCACACAGGTATAGCAGTAAAACACCAGATATGCCCCCACTGTCTCTGTTAATGAAGTTCCAGAGCTCAAGTCACCATGTTTCTTGTTCCTCACTGGGAAGCCACAGAAAGAAGAAAAGTTACCTGGCTCTAGAATGGAGACCTGCTTCTAAAAAGGTCAAATGTCCAACTCTTCTCCAAACCAAATGCAACATGCTCACAGGCAAGATCCACCAAAATCAATTTGAAACTTTACTGGGCATAGCTTGTATAGGGATAAGTCAATGGCAATTCCCCAAGCTGCAGCTTTCTCCAAACAGTTCAGGGAAGTAGAAGTAAATTACACTGTTGCTACCACCATCCCCGACCACTGTCACTCACCTCACTCCCACTGTGCCCATCACCATCTTTACTACTAACAGCAGCAACACCATCACCGTGACAGACACCTCTTCTTCCCCCATCACAACCACCACCACCATTATCACTACGCAGCAGCAGCAGCAGCATCGAGACCCCAGCTGATAAACAGCTGAAGGTCAACATGCCAAACAGAAAGACTTAAAGGTTCGGTTTTATTTGAAGAACTTCTGAATCACTTGTGAAAGTATGTCACACCCGTCTCCCAGCATGTTCCAAAACAACCCCACCTAAAGCAATTTGCTACAACAAATTCCACCGAAGAGATGCTCGCCTTCCTCGCCTTCCCGGCTGAGACAGATGAGAAAAAGGGACAGAGGAAGGGGTGGGAGGAGGCTCCCCTGGTCCCCACTAGGCCTCTGGCGCAGCTCTGCACCTGGGCTATTTTGTGTCCCCAGAAGGCCAAAGCCCTGTGCGGCAGGAGAGTGGCCATCGCATAACGCCTGGAGCTGGCCACATGTGCCAAAAGCCTGCTGTGCACTCCACGGCCAGGAGTTTTGTGACAGTGAACTTGAAACCCACAGGTAAAACAGCTTTGCCAATAGTCATATGGGAAGCTGATGTCTTGGAAAAATAAGGGGGACATATGCTAGTGTCCTGTCTGCTGCCATGTGGAAAACTACACTAATACCCTTTTTAAATCACTTTCACAGACATTTTGCTGTATTTTCCTTTGAAGACATAAAAAAACTAATAACCTTGTCCATATTTTTAAAAACATGAGTCACAAGTTTCTGCTTAAAAAATTTAAAAACTCCAGCTATTATTACTTCCTTGCATCCTTATAACTTAACAAGTTATGAACAGTTAAACTGAATTTTTAATTATTCTTTTTTAAAAGACCATTTAAAAAGTAAAGGTTATTCTTAGGCTGACACCGTATATGCCAGGTCTGTAGCTAGAAGCACATTTTTACAGCTAGTTATAAAGCCCTGAAATATGAGTTTATATTGGAAAAGCTGAAGCAACCTTAACTCTAGCCACGCCAGTGGGCGCCACTTTAATTACAGTCCCAGAATTGAATAAAACGCAGTCTGTCTTCTACAGTAGCATCACAAAGAACCCCATTAACTCTCCAATTACTAACCGAGGAAACAACATTCTCTAGAACTCCAGCCAAGGACAAAAGAACACTACAACTTCAAAACTTAAAAACTGGCTTCAAAGTTGCAGGGAGGAGCTCCTCTGAAGGTAATGTTTACTTCACTTATTTAAAATAAGTGAGCGCCTTGCCAAGGCTCACATAAAACTATTTGTTTAACAAATAAAGATGTGTGTTTCCTGGAGTGTTTCTAATTGGGATTTGCGATCCCACCTCCTAAGAAATTC